GAGGACTACCCGCAGGTCTACCTGAGCAACGAAGAGCTTGCCGAGCTGGAGGAGGCCATAATGGACGACGTAGTCACGTCTGAATGGGACTCAGCAGTCGCCTTCAGAGGTATCCACTTTAGGGTCGGATACCTCCTGATAGACTGCTTGGACCAGGACTCGGCGGACTGGCTGAGGGCTGTAACGCCTCAGCTAAGGACATGGAAGGGCGTGCCCCTTGACACTAGGGTAGGAGAAGACATTCCTGCTGCATACAATGTCACAGTCTTCTGCCCTAGAAGTGCAGAAAGAAGCAATGAGGAGCTTCTGATGATGCTGGGACGCCAGAACAGAATGGAGGTCGATTCCTGGAAGGTGATCTTCCGAAGGAACGACGGAGGCGGGGCACTCCTCGTTATAGGGATAGACCAACTCACCCAAGATGAGATCGTCTCTAAAGGGCACCAGCTGAACTTTAGATTCGGGACCGTATCGGTGAGTGGTCTCAGGAAGGCGGCGAAGATGGCGGCAACAGAAGCAGCGCCCCCCGACCCCAAAGACGGCAAAGTGGAGGTCGAGGAATCCCTCGGAAAGCCACAAGAGCCATTGGGTGCAAAGGAGGAGGCTATCGCCGATATGGACGTGGAGAGTGAGGATGAACATCCCTCGCCCTCCCAGGAGGTGGCACAAGAGCCCCCCCTAGAAGATATCGACGAGAAGGAGGCCGACGTCACCCTGACGGAAGGCAGTGAAGGGGAATTTCCGCCCCCTTCACAAAACATAGAGCACCCGCTCCAGTATTGGCTGCACACCGCAGCACGCAGCTAGCCCAGGTGAACTTACTCCGGGCCAAGGCGGCATCCGCCGTCCTGGGCTAGCTCTCATTCAGGAGCCTTGGTGCAATCAGGGCATTAAAGGCCTGTACACCAAGAAATCAAAGGTAATATGCGACCAACGGGGTGCACACCCAAGAGCATGCATATTAATAAGGAAAGATATCAATTATATTATCTTTTCAGAGTTCCTAAGCAGTGACTGTGTCGCGGTAACGCTGAGCGGCACAGGAAAGTTACCAGCGATTGCCATAGCATCGGCGTATTTCGCTGGGGATGTAGCATGCCCACCACCGGAAATCATCGGACTCGTGGAATGCTGCAGGAGGAAGAAGTTACCCCTAATCATAGGATGTGACGCCAATGCACAATGATATGGGGAAGCACCGACGTCAACAACAGAGGTGAGCAGCTAATAGAGTTTATTGTAAATAGTAACCTAATCGGTAATGTCGGGTCCACACCGACATTCATTACTAGAGTAAGAGAGGAGGTCCTAGACGCCCCAAAAAGGAATCCCAAGAAAACAAACTGGGATCGGTTCAAATCCTCTCTTGAGCTCAATCTCTCTAACGAACCGTCAGGTATACCCAGACATTCTTTAGAATTGGATCAGGCAGTGGATAACCTCTGCAAGAAGATAACCAATGCTTTTGAGGACAGTTGCCCTCTTGGCAGACGGAAAGCAGATAGAGACGCCCCATGGTGGAATGACAACCTGGAACGGCTCCGAATCTCCACCCGCCGGCTCTTCAACAGAGCAAAAACGAGCGAGGATGACTGGGGACATTATAAACAAAGCCTGACGCTCTACAACAAAGAGATCAGGAAGGCCAAACGAAATAACTACAGAGACTTCTGTGAGGCAATCAGCACTGCCCATGAAGTGGCAAGATTGCACAAGGCTATGGCCAAAGTTGCACCAGAAAGTAACCTAGCCCTGAGGAAATGAGACAACTCTTACACTTCCGACGACAGGGATAAACTAGCTTAACTCTTTAAAACACACTTCCCCGGGAGGCATCGTCCACTCCAAGACACCTCAGACCAAGCGCAGAGGACCGGGCATTTGCCAAGTCTCTAGTCTCTCCGGAGAGACTTAAATGGACAATTGGGACCTTCCAACCATTTAAGTCACCTGGTCTGGATGGTATCTCTCCATCATTCCTGCAGCAGGGACTGGACTTACTCCTAACCCGCTTAAGGAGACTGATGCTAAGCAGCCTAGCAATTGAACACATCCCAAATGCGTGGCGTAGAGCTAGGGTGGTCTTCATCCCCAAAGCAGGGAAGAAAGACATCACCAACCCAAAGTCCTTCAGACCTATCAGCTTAACCTCGTTTTGCCTTAAAACGTTAGAAAAGCTGGTAGACTACCACATTAGGAGCACAGTTCTTAAGGACTGTCCGCTGCAACCCACGCAGCACGCATACAGGGCAGGTCGTTCAACAGACACTGCACTGTACCAACTTTGTCACACTCTTGAAGGGGTAGTGGACAACAAAGAAGTTGCAATCTGCGCCTTTCTAGATATAGAGGGAGCCTTTGACAATGCGTCGCATGATGCTGTCTTAGCGGCCCTCGCCAGAAGGAATATAGACGCGACAACAAGAAGGTGGATTGGAGCCTTGTTAAGCTCCAGGCAGGCAAAGGAGAACATTGGCAACAGCACAATGACCGTTGCCACAATCAGAGGATGTCCGCAAGGTGGAGTCTTGTCTCCTTTACTGTGGAGACTACTAGTAGATGAACTACTAAAGAAACTCGCCGACAGAGGAATACAATGTCAGGGCTATGCCGATGACATAGTAATAGTAGCCAAAGGGAAATTTGAAGAAACGCTTTGCGATATTGTCCAACTCGGACTCAAGATGACGCTCGACTGGTGCAGGGAAGTTGGGCTTAACCTCAACCCCGCAAAAACAGTCATTGGTCCTTTTACAAAGAAGTACAAACTAAAGAAGATGAGACAAATCATGCTACTAGGTACTCCCGTAGCAATAAGCCGTGAAGTTAAGTACCTCGGAGTTACCTTCGACACGAGGCTAACGTTTGCAACCCATATGCAAAAGACAGTGGATAAGTGCCTCAGGGCTCTCTTCACCTGTCGGAAAATTGCAGGGAAATCTTGGGGGACCTCACCCCAAATTATCAGATGGTTATACCTTATAATTGTGAGGCCAATACTCACATATGGGTCAATAGCCTGGGGTAAACGAGCTAGGCTCGTTACCGCTCAGAAACAGCTCTAAAGGCTGCAAAGACTGGCATGCATATGTATGACAGGAGCAATGATAACCTGCGCCACTGCGGCACTGGAAGTTCTCATGGAACTCATTCTGCTACACTGCGTAGTAGAGTTACAGCGTGTAAGGGTTTGTAAAACGCCTTACAAGTTTGAGTGCAGGAGAGCCGCATAGCAACAGCGGGATGCGCGGCGTGCAGAAGAAAAGGGAAATAACGGTGCAAAGGACTTTGGACTCAATGCTGCGGTGAGTCTGCAGACTTTGGACCCAATAACGGTGAGTCTGCGGACTTCGGACCCGCGCAAAGAGGAGAGACCGTGAACTAACGGTACCGTTCTGGACTTTGTACCCGTTATAACGGTGAAGTTCTGGACTTTGTACCCATTATAACGGTGAAGTTGGCGGACTTTGGGCCAGCACAAAGAGGAGAGACCGTGAACTAACGGGACTTGTGTTGCCCTTTGGACCCGATCACGCCACTTGTCCTGCACTTTGGACCCGATCACGCCACTTGTCCTGTAGGGTGCGTCTACGAGTCTCGAAATCGACGAAGTTGGTGGAGTCTTGGCAGTGGATGTTGTGCGAAAGGTACCCGGCGTCGGTTTCCCATGAAAGATTGAGAACCTGCTGAGGGCCAGGCCGACGAAGATCCAGTGAAGTTGTGCGAAAGGTACCCGGTGTCGGTCCACACGAGAGTGAGGACCTGCTGAGGGCCAGGCCGACGAAGTCCCGACCGAACTCCGGGGTGGAGCGAAGAGTGGTGACTGCAGGCATCACTGCTTAGCCCGGCTAGCTCAGTCGGTAGAGCATGAGATTCTTAATCTCAGGGTCGTGGGCAGGGAGAGAAAGAGCGTCATCCGCGAACAACGCAAGGAAAATGGCAGACCAGGACAGGATTACGCCAAAGTCGCAAAACAAGTCAGGGAGTGGAGTTTCCGTTACGACGGGAATGAGAAGCCCCTGGCATTCCTCGAACAAGTGGAGTGGTCGGCCATGACGTACGGACATCAACCAAATTCCGAGGGCGATGCCGGAGCTCCTTCAGGGCAGAGCGCTAAAATGGTTCATCGCTAATAACAGGTTCTGGGAGACCAGGGGGCGGATTTAGCCAGAGCTTCCAGGAGTTCTTCTTGCCCAGGGGATTCATGAGCAAACTCGCAGATCAGGTCAGGCAGAGGAAGCAGAACTACGGTGAGAGCTTCAAAGACTACATGGTAGACATGCAGACACTGATGCGACCCCTGGGTATGAACAAGGACGAGATCTTGGAGCGGGTTAAAGAAAATAGCACCCCAGCATTACGGCTGTTTATACGCCCCTACAGGTGTCAGAACCTAGATACCCTGATGGCATTAGCGGACGAATTTGAGGAGCTCGACCAGCAGAGGGAGCGGTTCGAGCAGGAGAACATCCCGAAAGCCCGATACCATGCGCCGGCCATGAGGAGGGAACCAGCAGCAACGTGCAGGCGCTGTCAAGACGAGCCAAACGAGCGCAACGCACGGCCGGGATATATAGATAATCCATCCCAGGCATGCCGGAGATGCGGAAGCCAAGACCACTGGGCCAAAGAATGCCGCAATAGAAGGATCGCATTCAGTTGGAGCGCGAGAAGCGGGTCAGAGGAGGGTACACAGCCGCACGCATATAACGGATCACTCACACTAATAAAACGAAAGAGAGCGGCGGGAAGGATCCCGTTACCGGTACAGATCCAGCAAATAACGGGAGTGGCGGAAAGAAGGAAACCGAGCTGTCATGGGGAACCACGCGGGAAGACTCGGTCTTTTCGAAAACTACGATCAAGATGGCCGGACGCAAACAGCAGCAGCAACACCAGCAGCAACAGCAGCAGCAGCACCAGCAGCAGCAGAAGCAGCACCAGCACCAGCAGCAACAGCAGCAGCAGCACCAGCAGTCGACGGCGGCCCCACCGCGGAGATGGTCACGGTGGAGCTGTCGTCGACAGAAGAGGACAGCGGCGGTGAGACCGTAACCCCCGTGGTCTCGTCGGATGAGGACGACGACAGGCGGGCGGCGAAGGCCAGGAGGACCTACAGGCAGCTCAGGCGGGCCGTGGCGGGTGGCGATTTCATCCGATGCGGAACGGAGGCTCCGTCGGGGGACCCCGCAGAGGTGGCAGCCATTGTGGCCAGGCGCCAATGGACGCTGCGAAGGTTACAGGAGCAGGAGAGGGAGAGGGTGGCGGCGTGGGAGGCGTGGCAAGTGCGTCTCCAGCAAGCGGAGGCCGAGGAGGCCGAGTTATGGAGGCCGCCTCCAAGGTCGCCGTCGGCGTCATCATCGGCGTCGTCGTCGTCATCGTCATCGTCATCGTCGTCGTCGTCGTCGTCGTCGTCGTCGTCGTCGGCGTCATCATCGCCGCCGAAGCGCCCGTCGCCACCGCCGAAATTGACACCGCAGTCGCCACCGCCGAAATTGCCATCACCACCGCCACCGCCGAAATTGCCATCGCCACCGCCGCCGGCAAAACTGCCGTCGCCACCGCCGAAACTGCCGTCGCCGCCGAAGCTGTCACCGCCGCCGCCGAAGATGTCACCGCCTCCTCCGCCGGCGTGGGTGTGGCCACCACGGCCGGAAGGGCCGCTGCCGTCGTCGCCGCTGCCGCGAGGGCCGCCACCGTCGCCGCCGCCGCCACCAGGGTCGCCAGCGGCAAAGAACACGCCGTCACTGCCGCAAGGGCCGTCGCCGTCGCTGCCGCAAGGACCGTCGCTGCCGCCGCCACTGCCGATAGGGCCGCCGCCGTCACCACCGCCGCCGCCACCAGGGTCGCCAGCGGCAAGAAGCACGCCGCCACTGCCACAAGAGCCACCGCCGTCGGCGCCGCAACCGCCGCCACGACCGCCGAAGCTACTCCGGCAGGTGTCGTGCCCGGAGGCCCAGGCACCGAAGAGGCCCACCTTGCGGAGGACGGTGTCGGTGGAGCCCGCCGGGCGGGAGATACCCCTTACGGAGTGTCCAGAGGCGGTGAGGGCCGAGGCGGAGAAGCAGGCCCAACGAGGGAGGACCCAGCGGTGGGCAAAGCTGATGTGGTCGGAGGGGGCCCGCTACCGCATCAAGATGGCGGGCGGGTGGGCCAGGGTTTTTAAAACCAAATAAATGCCCCTTCAAGTGCCATTTAATCGGCTATGTATTTAGGGGACAGGGGTGGGTAATGCCTGAGGTGGACCGGTCAATAAAAACACACACAAAGTACAGGCAAACACAAGAAAAAACACAAGAAAAAAAATGTATATGGGGCCGGACGGGTCAATGACTCCGCGAGGGGCGCGAGCCAGGCGCGCGGGCCGGCAAGGAGCAAAGCGAGAGGGGGTAAGCGACAGACCCAACGACTCCATGGACGTCCGCCCGAGGACCATCTGCCGGGCGCGACGGGCCAAGGATGGCGCCCGGCGCATGAAGAGGAAGCATCGACTGGCAGCCGGTACGAGCTGGAATAAAAGGAGAAAAAGGTAAGCCGAAAAGCGGCCAAATATTTCACAAACTTACCTGGAAGCAAGCCCGGGCGTCCAGTCCAAAGGGGCTGCTGGGGTAGAAGGGGCAGTGGAGGGGAGAAGGGGCCAAGAGAGGGCCTGCCGGGACGCGCTGCATCATATTGGGCGCCCCGGCACATAGTCATCGGGGAGGCGTTCGCAGCTCAACCCGGCAAAGATGCATGCTGCAAGAAGAGGACGGAAATGGTGAGAAATGAGGAAAAAAACGAAATAACCTCAAGTACTTACCAAAACAAAACCACGAGGCCAGCGGAAATTGGGAATGGGGTCGCCACGATAACGGCGGTCGATCGATGGTGCGATCGATGGGAGCTAAAAAAAATACTGGAAACATCGCTGGCCGGTCACACTGAATATGACGGCACCCTGAGGACTTTTTCAAATTTGAAACGAGGATCGGAAGGAGTCGCGCGCTGGGAGTTTCCGACAGCCAAGATGCCCTAGTCAAGAAGCCCAACGACGGGAAGTCTACATAAGCTGAGACTTAGGTGCTGAGGTTGGAGGAGCTCTCAGCCGTGGCGGGAGGAGGTCGACGAAGGAGTGGCAACGGCCACAAGGATCAAGGAAGGATGTGCGCGCAAGGAGCCATGGGGGTCGAGACGCCGCAGTCGAGATGCTTAACGACCAGGTAAGGTTTACTAGGCTGAGACTGTCCGGCTGAGATCCAGAGGGCCCTTGGCCGCACTCAGGAGTGGAGGTCGACGTGGGAAGGATGCAATTTGAGAACGTTTCCCCAGGACATTCCGGAGCCCGAAGCTTTTAAAAGTTTCCGAAGGAAGGGGGAGATGTAAGGGTTTGTAAAACGCCTTACAAGTTTGAGTGCAGGAGAGCCGCATAGCAACAGCGGGATGCGCGGCGTGCAGAAGAAAAGGGAAATAACGGTGCAAAGGACTTTGGACTCAATGCTGCGGTGAGTCTGCAGACTTTGGACCCAATAACGGTGAGTCTGCGGACTTCGGACCCGCGCAAAGAGGAGAGACCGTGAACTAACGGTACCGTTCTGGACTTTGTACCCGTTATAACGGTGAAGTTCTGGACTTTGTACCCGTTATAACGGTGAAGTTGGCGGACTTTGGGCCAGCACAAAGAGGAGAGACCGTGAACTAACGGGACTTGTGTTGCCCTTTGGACCCGATCACGCCACTTGTCCTGCACTTTGGACCCGATCACGCCACTTGTCCTGCACTTTGGACCCAGTCACGCCACCGATGGAGGGAAATAGCGTGACATGGATGGCATATAAAAGGAGGACGCGTGCAGGCAGTCAGGTCAGTCAAGTGAAGTCGTGCAACGAGATCGTACCAACGCGAGTGAAACCCCAAGGAGAATACCAAGTGCCATTTAATCCGGAATCAAGATCGCCGAGTCAAGAAGCCCAACGACGGTCACGTCTACATAAGCTGAGACTGCCAAGCTGAGATCCCGAGGGTACAAGGTAAGTTGTAGGGTGCGTTTACGAGTCTCGAAATCGACGAAGTTGGTGGAGTCTTGGCAGTGGATGTTGTGCGAAAGGTACCCGGCGTCGGTTTCCCATGAAAGATTGAGAACCTGCTGAGGGCCAGGCCGACGAAGATCCAGTGGAGTTGTGCGAAAGGTACCCGGTGTCGGTCCACACGAGAGTGAGGACCTGCTGAGGGCCAGGCCGACGAAGTCCCGACCGAACTCCGGCGTAGAGCGAAGAGTGGTGACTGCAGGCATCACTGCTTAGCCCCGCTAGGGAGGTTCTGCCTAACATCCTCTAAGGTTGTGAGAGGCTCGTAGCGAGCCTAGTACGCGACCGGTGCCCAAAAGACTCGGCAAGGCAGAGGACGCGCGACAGGCGTGCCGCCGTAGAGTCGACGCGGGAGCCATTACCGGCGTCAAGGAGGGAGAGCGAGTCGTCAGGCAGCAGATCCACGAGTCAATACCAAGCTGTAAAGCCACAAACAATAAACCCAACATATATTCTAAAGCTAACCTATCTCTGTGTTCTTCTTTGGTCGCGGGTCACGCAACAATAAATTTGGTGGGACGAACACACAAACTCAACTGAGCTAGCCGCACGTTACGTAGCGAGCGGAGACATATAAAAGCAGTTCGTTACAAGCGGAAGGCCACCCTACTAAGAATCACTTCTTGTGGTAATGGCAGTGACCACATCCTCAGTACTAGGGATGCAGCAAAACTACTAGTTGAGCTCACACCCCAGGGACGAAATGACAGTAGAATTCATATTTGAAAAGAATTTCTCTGCTCATCTGAGCAACAAGAAAGAATGGCCCACCATGAAGGAAGGACACTCCATGGCGGGTCACACTATAGCATGGTATACGGACGGGTCTTTAACACACCAAGGCACTGGCCTTGGAGTAGTAGGACCACGAATCAAATACCATGAATCGTTAGGCCAATACACCAGCATATTCCAAGCTGAAGTTTGCGCCATAGGACGGTGTGCAGAGCTCAATATGAAGCGTGGATACACAAACAAGGACATTGCGATCCTCTCGGACAGTCGAGCGGCAATTACTGCACTATGCAGCAATAGAATCACCTCGAAGCTGGTTCGAGAAGTAAGAACAAAGCTGAACCTTCTGGGCAGCAACAACAGGCTGTCATTAAGATGGATTCCAGGACACAAAGACATATCCGGGAATGAACTAGCCGACAGGCTAGCAAAACTAGGGGCAGAACGACCCCTTATGGGACCCGAGCCTTAGGCTGCAAACATAGTGCGCGCTGAGACGAAGATTAAGATGAAGACGAAGCTGAAGACGAAAAAACAGTGCAAAACAATTTATATGAATTTGCTCGTCCGTAAACATAGTGCGCGCAAAGACGAAGACGATACGTTGAAGACGAATCGCTTGCTATTTTGCCTTTGTTATTAATAATTAGCGGTTTAAATTTTAACAGAATGTAATCAAATGTACTGATTTTCATTCTGGTGTACTTCACAAATTTTTTTCATCTTTACGCAGCTCATTAAATATATGATGAAATTCGGCGAACGCTTTTCTACCCAAATTATTTGGGTGAATTCTTTCATTCACTTTTTTGTTGTACTTTAATTTAAAAAATAAACTTTCCTCCAACAGCAGCTTATCATCTGATGCGAAATCCATTGAGACTAACATCACAAAATCGCAATAAATTCGTCTTGCACTATGCAACCTATTAGCTTGCTAGCAACGCAAACAATTCGTCTTCAGCTTCATCTTAATCTTAATCTTCGTCTCAGCGCGCACTATGTTTGCAGCCTTACTGTGGCATAGGTAGACACACAGTCAAAGATTACCTAAGAACAGAAGAGGTACATATGAGGCAAGCCTGTTGGGAAGACACCACAGGCCAAAGACAAGCCAAAACCCTTATCGTCAATTATGACATGAAGAGGTTTAAGAAACTTATACTACTAGGGAAGAGTTCACTTAGAATAGTTACCGGCTTACTAACCGGACACTGCAAACTAAGGAGACACCTATTTAATATAGGGATTACAAACAGAAAAACATGCAGATTCTGTGATAGCGAGTATGAAACCTCCCTACACATAATATCAGATTGCCCAGCACTAAGTAGCCTGAGGAGCAGAACCCTCGGGTCCAGGTTCCTTACACTTGGGACCTCTGGAAGCATCGGTCCGATAAAGCTCCTTAACCTTATCGAAGGAGCCGGGTTGATGGGTGAGCTCTAAGCTCAGATAGGGGGTACAATAGATCCAGTTGGGTCGAGGTAACCTTCCCCCCTAATAATAATAATAATAATAACCTAGTGCATGTAGAGTGACAACCAAACCTCAAATTTAGTATCCGTGTTGGAACGGACTATCGGCCCTGTGTAGGTTGCGTAAAGGGACGGCGGATCCTCCCTGTGTAGGTCGCGTAGAGGGACGACGGATCCTCCCAATTGAGGAACCGTAGTGAGACAGATGATTCCCACTGTGTAGGTCACGCATAGGAACGGCCTATCCTTCCTTACGTGGTGTGTCGATGGGTCTTCGTGGGTCCAAGGTCCAAAGGTCCAGCCCGTAGAATTTTCCACCTCAACCGAATACGCGATTTCCATTCCGGTTCAAAATCTGTCATCTTCGGCCTCGCCCGAAGGTCCAGCCCGTGAGTCCATCCCAACGAGTTGTAAGCGTAACAAACGAAAACTTTTTAAGATAAATATAATTTTTATCATTGAATGGACAAAACTCTCTAGCCCGGTGATCTACAATGACTCCTCAAGCGACTAAGATTTGTTCCCCGGCTCTAGAGCAGCCTTACAAGTTTTTAAATAATGCAAAGTGATATCGGAGTCAGTGTATCGAATAATTATAAGATCTACACAAAGATGAGCTGCACACAGCTCAAGGCGACACAAAATTTCGTCTTCAGGGGATAAATTTTGTCTTGTATACGAACGTTGCAATGTTTTGGGTAATTTCTTTAAGTAAAAAACATTTTAATATTCAATATTCATTCAGTTTAGCAACATTGCAGCATTTTTCCATCAAATTGCAATAATAATATAAATCGTTCGGTTATGCCGGATCTTAACTCAAGGCATTAAAATTCAAATCTTAACGTAAGCTAAATTCTCGATGTTTGCCTTTGCGTTTCTATTTTCCCTGCGCGGCAA